CTTTCATTTGCTGCCACGATCCTGGGAATTTTTTTCCTACTGAGCCATGGAAATGTACGAAATGTACAAAATATATGGTAGACAGGTCATAGCTTTGTGTTGGAAAGCAACAAGCCAGCTGTAAGCCATCACTCCACATGGTTCACAGCAGCTGCCTCTCTGCTACAAAGCAGGGTTGGGACCAGACCTATGATCATCCACACCGCTTAATTGCTAATATGGTCCTCAGCACATTTTGAGGCACATGCACACTAGTCTCCCAGGCACTGTTCAAGGAACAGGTTGGAGCAAGGACAGTCTCCAGGTGACAGTAGGGGCAAGGTAGGGAGAAGAGAAATGGTGCATGTAGACATGACCATGCCATCTACTTGATCTCAAAAAACAGCCTCTGATCACTTTATTAATTAGTACAGACTTTGATCGTAGAGCCATGCCTGGTACTACTTTAGGTACTAAAAGCATACTAACCACGTTAAGGTGGTCTTTATCCTTTGGCCAGTTGGCTGAGTTTTCAGGAAAGTCTGTATCTGAGGTGTAATGCTACCCAGTAAAATAAGAAAAAAAAAGTGTGGTTTTATTTTGTATCATCCTTAAAAACTGATGAGGGGCACTGTGATATAATAGAAATGTTTTTCCATGGTCCTGTCCAGAGCCAGGTATGAATATCTCCACCTCAGAAAGCCATTCTCACACTGGTTGACCTGCCCACTGCCATCACCAGAAGCAGAACCCTGATGGTGCCCATTTGTGCAGCCACACTTCCGTGCTATGAAGCAGAAAGGGAAATGGAATAGGAGCAGCTCTGAACAGTGTCTGTGCTTCCCTCAAGGCAAAGAAAATGTTCATCTGTCTCGATCTACCGCAGTTACTGCTGCTTTGCTCCAGTGAATGGGTACGAAGACCAAAGAGGGAAAGTCAGTGTAAGACTGTCCTGCTAGGCAAATACATATGATAATTTAATTAAGAATACATGTGCAATCTTAATTTTAGCGTTCAGAAAGATCAATATTTTCTAACTATGAAGCTTATAATTTTAAATAAGTGGATTTCTAATACCTTATCTTTGTATATACGTGTATATCTACTCTTGGGACGCTGGAAAATTTTTCTCTGAAGATATTTTTAATAAGATATAAATTTCCTACTGGTTGCACAGGCTATTGACAAGAAAACCAGAAAGAGATAACAGGAAAAAAAAAAAGGAGAAATTGTTAAGCTTTTAATAGAAATGCTTATATTTTCTTCATTCATTTGCTAATTGTGGTGTGATTTTTTTTAATTTTTCCCAAAAGAAGGGGCATCCTTCTCCCATCTATCCTTTTTTATTAATCTTGTTATCATTGAAATATATGACTTACCTCCCTTTTATTCTAGAGGGGGGAAAAAAAAAACAAACCAAAAAAAAAAAAGGGGGGGGGCAAAAACCAAAGCAGCATGGAAAACACTGAAGGGGAAAAAACAATATTTTTTTGGTATTTCCCATGTAAACTAAATTACTTCTTTAATCAGCCAAAATATGCATTTAGGAACATGCTGATGCTTTTCAAATTGTAGTAGATAGAGGTACTTAATCACCAGTTTAAGTAGAAAACGGGTACCAAGGGAATTTTCCATGGGGTGATTTAGCTGTATGCAAATCTCTTGTGTACTGTAGTATTGCAGTGCTCAGGAGCTGAACACTGTAGAGCTTGTCAAGGGATTAGGTAACAATGAAGATTTAAGAGACAGGACAAAGCTAGATGCAGGTTGGGAGTAATATCCTGGTCAATATATCCTCTGGTGTAGACAGCTAGATAAACATGTAGATAAAACTTACTACAGCAATGTTCAAGCAAAATGCACCACAGGCAAAGATTTGAAGAGAAACTCCCACAGGACACTGACAGCTTTTTTCCCTTTTTTGTCCTTTTTACTGAATATTATTGTATTTGAAGCATCATGGCAAAACCTCAGGTCTGAGCCCATTGTGAACCCAAACCTTCAGGGGATGCAATTTGTAATATTTCTCACCACTAACACAAATCCCACAGAGCTTGTGGGTGCATGCTAGCTAGTAGATAATTTATATGTGTGAACTAAAAGCAGTACTGCTGTAAAGTATATGCATAAGGAATTTTTTATAAATAAACTAAAGGTGTAAATAAATTGGAGGTTCATGTGTTCACAGAGTCAGTATTCTGCATCATAAAAAGGTCTACATTAAGATACAGCCTGCCATCCTCCAAGTGTATGCATCAATCTCTATAATGTTCATAAATGGCTCAGTTACTACCTGTAAATTAGCTGTAGCAAAACTGAGACAAGCATCCAGGACAGAAGAAAACAATTTATGTTCTTACCCCCTGCTGGGAATGGGTGGCTTTTGGTGCAGGAAGGTTCCCCTGAGCCACCCTAGACAGATGAGAGACCGATATAGGGGTAGGTCAGCCAGCATGGAAATTAAAACAGAGCAAAAGTGGATTATAGTTCAGTGGAAAAAGAGCTGTAAGTACACTTTGGAAAAAATTTCAGCTGGTCTCACAGTTACCTCCATGCAAAGCCAAAACACTAAGAACTTCACATAGGACAAAAAAGTCATACCCCAACTACCTGTATTGAACAGTGAGAAATGTTGATCCTGAAGTGCACATGGAAAAAAAATCAAAGCAGTGATCCTCCTTAGGTTTTGTACCACGTGTTGAGCTCTGTGTGCATCACTGGGTGTGGAAACTGACTCCCCAAGCCAATGGCTCAAATATAAGTATTTCAGTCCTCTGCCTCAGTTTGTCATCTTAAAAGCAATGAGATGAGATAATAAATTTTTTTCTTTCCTTTATCCTTCACATGTGTCCTTTGTGGATTGTAAGCCTCTGGGAATGTCTTTACTATATCGCATACACTCTCCTAATTAGATGCTTATGTAACACACAGGAATTATGGCAATTAATATCAATATTGCAGTTCATTAGATTTATTGAGTTCTGGCCCATTAGTTGATAGCAAAGAGTTTCTTTAAGAATGTAAAGTCAAAGTTATCTTTGGTTTTTTGGTTTTTTGGTTTTTTGGTTGTTTCATTTGGGTGATTTCTGCAATGCAGACTGAGGGAAGACTTAGATTTTTCTGGCTCTTACTCTGAACTGAAAGTGCCCATTACTGGGATGGGAGCCCAAGATATAAGTGTTACTGAGAATTAGGCTCAGTGTAGTGTTTTTATGAACATGTGGCTTTTGGAGTAGGAATTCTCAGTTTTCTGCCAGGTACAAGGCTTATGCTTTCTCAAAAGCCATCCTGTAAATTGTATGTTTAAGTAGGTCTTGAAATGCTTAAGACTTGAGTTGGCTGGAACAGAATCTGTCTCCACCAAATGAACGCCAAGACCCTTAGTGATGACAGAACTTTTAATATAGGTGACCAAATACAGGAAGGCCCACTTTGTCCCAGATGAGGTACTGCTAGGGAGGGTGGACTGGCAGGACAGCAAAGCAGAAGTCATGGTGGTGTTGGTGCCACAAACTACAGGAGTAAAAATGGTAGAGCACAGTTTGCACAGAGAAGCAAACCAAACTTTGTGCTTGAGGAAAGATATGTCCCTAAGCAGTGTGACATGGTGACACCTCTCACCTGAGTGTTACATCTCATGGGCATTAAAGATCCATGAATGTCAAATAGCTATGAAGGATTCTTCATGAGTGGAGGACACATGATTACTTTTTATGTGCAAGATATTCTAATTATTCTGTAGACATTCATTTCAGGTTACAGAATTTTTATTGAAAACCATTTAATTTTCAGTAGTTGTCACTTGAGTGGACAAAGTGGAGTAGCACAGGAAAATTACTTAGCACAGGTTCAGATCCTCTATCATTTGCATACACATATATAATTTTTGTCTTCTGCTTATACATAATGGCAGCAAAACTGCTAATATGTATTGAATACAGTGTGTTGCTAGTGTCAGATCATTAATAACAGTATGAAAACATATATAATTTTTCATTATACCTGAGTACATTTTCTGGATAAAATGTACAAAATATATATTTATGTGCAAGTGTGTGACACGATATTGTTATAACTGCACATACTGAACTTCCCTGGGCAATAACCAGAGTATCCACCATTATTGTAGTAAAGAGCAGAAACAGAAACACACAAAAAAAGATTCCAAAACTTTAGGGAAAGGATGTATATTCATATGCTTCAGGGCATAAAAGAGTTTGTGGATTAGGAGGAAATTTCCCCTGTGGACAAGTAGTCTCTGTAACAACCTACTGCAGAGTTTCCAGCATGCTCATCTGAAGACAGCCAATTTAATAAACACTTTACTTAAGAAGGTGGTCAGCTTATCTGATCCAGCATACCCTCTGTGTACTGACATGAAAAATGAAAGCCTCTTATATTATGCCTACCATGAGCAGTTTTGTCTGCTATAACTCTGTTCTTGATACTTTTCCAAATGTAAATTAAACCAACTGGTGGATAAGGTTTCCTTTTCTATACACCTTCTCCTCTTCCTACTCCTCTCCCCACTGCAGAAGAATGTAAATTGACATCTCCTTACACTGCAGGCATATAGCATGTCTGGGAAACAATACCTGTATCTCAGCAGAGTGTTGGCTGTACCACAGGAACAGAAAAAAGTGACCAGAGGCAAGGCTCTGCTGGGTTCCCCCCCTAGCACTGGGTGACTCACCTGAGGCTCCATTTTACCTGTCTAATGTTTGTGTTTGCAGTAATTTTCCATGAGAAGGTGTCTTTAATTAAAACTCACTACATACCCCCATCAGGGGGGCACAACATTTCAGAGGATTGAGGCAGAACTACAGGTCTACTGAAGCAGGAGAGGGTAAGCTGTGTTTTTCCAGTGTCTATGCAAATTGGGGGGGTTTAAGCATGGGAGCTGCATGTTGAAGTCCCCAACAGTACTATATGTGGATGTGGTCCACTTAGGCTGTAACACGCATCTTACACTTCTTCCCTCCACCCAGGACCCAGGCGGGGAACATATCAGGAAGCCATACCCCAGACTTAAGGGGAGGGTGTCAGCTACAAAATATGGGTATCCAGTCTTCCTCCTTAGGGTTCTCCACTGGGACAGCGGTTCTGCTCCTCAAAAGGGGTAGAGGAACGTGAGGGCTTGGGAACCAGCATTACTACAGGCATTTATTGCTGTATTTATTGCTTTGATTTTGGGCATCTCAGTGTGAAGTCAGTGAAAGCTGCAGGAATTCAGTATGTTGGAAAATCAGACCCAGCTTGTTTTAAATTGACTATCCAGGGCAAAATGCTTCTCTGGAAGAATTTTAGTCTGGTTCTGTACATACGGTTGCTTGCCAACTTTTTTACTTAAAGGTATGACAGCCTTCATGTTGTTATATAGGTATAAAAGTCTATAACTTTCTCTTCATAATGATTTTGGTACATCTATTGTTTTCTGTGAAAATGAAATACTGTCTTTTATATTGATGGTTAGTAAGCTGCATTTCAAATTTTTTTGGTTTATTTGCACGAAGGTAGTATAAATCACCTGCCCTGAGATTTTCCCACTGTGCTCCACAGAAGCACAGTCAATAAGGCTGTGGGAAGGGTTACACTTGTCAGTGAGGGCTGGTGCTTGGACAGCCCCAAGCCACCTGGTCCTAAACACCCAGGAACCTTGATTATAGCATATCCCTGGAGCCTACAGTAAGATATAGGCTCCCACCATGACATCCAGCCAGCCAGAAGTACCTCTGGGTACAGGGTCATTTCCATGGCAGGATTAATTTTTTGGACACTGACAGAAGTCATCAGAGCCGTTAATTCAAATAAGTTTGGAAACTCCTGGATTATAGGACAGCTCACAGCTTAGCATCATGCCTGATGATTTTTCAGAAAAAAAAATTAGAGAAAAAAGGAGAGCAAAATAAAACCATATGAACTTATGCTAAAATGGTCCTCTGACTCAGGGCATTTCAGTTTTAACTCAGAGAGGAGATTGTGGGAATTTAGAATTTTCACAAAGCAAATCCAAACCCAAGTGTCTTAAATGGACCACCCAAAGTCAGAAAGCTGCTTCTAACATGTTTTTCTTTTATTTAGTGTATGAATTATTAAACTGCTGTGAATTACCCATTCAACTTCAGGCTTCTAAACTGAGTCTGAAAAACTCTATATTCTACAGAATGCAGAAAATTAAGATTGTGCAGATGGAAAATACTTCTCTGATGCAGTCTTCTAAGATGTCTTACAAATACTGAGCATCAGCTCCTGTGCAGAATGCAGCTGGGTGTCATTCAAGCAGTTCTTTGAGGGATATTACAGGAAGATATTATATGCATGGAGATAGGAGTATCTGAGGCTTCATCCAAGAGGCAGTAATCCCGGGAAGTGATGCTCACAGGAAGGTGTGGTGCTCCTTTCAGAGGTGATATTAATGTTTGCTAATTCCTTCAGTGCTACTGCCTAAGCATTTTATTATTGCTTTCTCCATCCCCAAGAATTGTGGAGACTGACAAACATTTATGCTGGGACTACTAATACATAGCTTTACAACACACCACTAAGATCCTCAGGAGCCTTCCTCCAAAATACACACAGATATTCTCTTAATGACCAAAGTTTGCTGAATCTGTTGTTAAGTAAGAGCCATTAATTCAATAATCCACCAAAAATCAGAATTCTAAGTGGCTTTCTGTATTGGCTCTTAAGGATTTCTCTGAAACTTCATCACATGACAGTTTTCAATCTCATCAAGCTCCTCCAGGTCAGCAAGTGAAAGACAATAACAAAGCGAAGCAAAACACGTAACAAATTCAATGGGCATCTATTATCAGCCTGATTACACACTGCACCACCCAGAGTCATAGTGATTTCAGTGAGGCTCCATATAGCATAAGGAGTATCCCATGCAGATTAGTTTACAAGATCAGGATCTCCTCATGGAATATCTCCTCCCTTCAAGCCTTTCCCATTCTGTATAGAGCAGCATAAAACAAAGGCCTGCCTTTTTTGCATATTTGCAATGTTGTAGTTGTTGATAGGTTTGTACAATGATTCAAATTACAATAGCTAAGAAAATATTTCCCAGTGCCATCTCAAGCCTATCTTGGCTTTTCTCACTTTGGTCACTCAAACAATCTTCTCTGTCCAGTCACCTTTCTAATAATCATTTCGATGCATTCCGGTTGCCACGGCATTAGGTATAAATGCCTAAATTCATACCATTCAGTTCCATTCAGGCATAATTTCATGGGAGGACTCAGTGTGCAATATAAAGTGAAAAAAACCCAAATGTCAGAAACTTCATATTGATACTTTGATCAGAAGCAACATGAGACTGAAAGTTTTTGAACAACAAACCATTTGAGAGTGTGTAACATGCTTGTGAAAATATTCATAGCATAATTAGATAAATAACAGATCCAGTGTCTATTTTTACTTTCCCTTGATGAGAAGCTTTGCAGGAGAGACTGCTGGTAGTTAATTCTCCCTAACAACAATCTGTGTAATCACAAACCCCAATTAGCTGTGCCTGTTCTATGCTATACAAACTATTTCCTTAGCGCTTCACATCACTACTTTGTAATTAGCTTTCATCTACACGAGCTTTGACTAAAAAAATATAAAAGAGTGTAAGTGATTGTACTGCCACTCAGTATTCTGTGAAATAATCGCTAGCGATTTCAATCAGATTAATTTTATCACCCATATTAAGGAAAATTACCTCCCTCTTCACTCTCTACAGCTGAGGGCTATTTCATTTCCTGAGATGTTCATAAAAGCATAATATAAAGCAATCTGTAATTGTAAATATCCTTCCCTAATAACTTTGAGATATTTCCTTAATACATCTTTACATTTGGAGTTTCCGTTCCATAAAATACAGTAACAAGTGCTCTATTATGTTTTAAGTGTGTGCTGTTAAGCTGGACAACTTAGCGCTGTCCTTCCTGTTTTTACATAGGGTTATATTTAACTTGCAGATAATGGGAACAAGGTTTAAAAGTGATGGAGCGGAATAATGGCGTTACAGCAATAATATATCTTGCCTTTGTGAGGAATAGAACTTTACAGCCTATTTCAGGTCAGCCAACACCAATTCCATTTTTCACAGCCTGACAACTTTCACCTTCACCCAGACTCCAGATGGATATTAAAAACTACTTTCCAAACAAAACTGAGGTTTGGCTATACCCATGCTCTACGTCTGGGGAGAGCACTGTGATACTTAAAATAAGATAAAAACGGGAAGCCTGCAGAGCTGCATGCCACTGACTTGTTTGGTGAACCTCCCAGGTAGTCAAAGAGCAAAGCAAGCTGCTCAGGTCTTACCAGAGGGGTCATAGCAGGAGAATTTCTGCAACTGCAACACTTGCATGTTGAAATTCTGCAGGGAGAACATGGCATTAGTAAAAATTTAGCACCTGCTTTGTGGGAAATGTGAGGTGTGTGCTAGGTGTACCACGGCAGCTCCATATAGCACCACTAAGAAGGTTCATTAAGGTGTCCAGGCCACCAGCACTTTTCACTGAACACAGATCAAGACAGCCGGGAACACAGCTGAGTTGGTCATACTCCCTCTTTTATCTGTAAGCATTGGTCCTGAATATACCTGTTTATTTTTAAATAAATAAATAAATAAAGGAAAACAATACAAAAGGCACTGGGTGACCAAAATGACTACAATGTGTTCTCACCCATACATGTATATGTTGTCTGCATTGCAGGGCTTTCCCCCAGCATCCTCAGCTTCACCACAGATGTACAAGGCCAGTGATACAGCAAGCACACTGCTCACATCAGAACCAACACAGCCTAAGGCAGTTTTAAGCTGCCCCTCTTCTCCTCAGAAAGCAAACTTCCAGCCTTTCAAAGGTAAAGGCATCTCATCATCTGAGCAGCTCTGTTCTTTCCTGCCAGTACATAGGAAGTCTACCTGTCATGCTGGAGAGATGACTGATATGAGACAAAGACTGAGATGGGCAAAAAAGCATCTCCACTGGAGAAGGGAATTATTTCTGCCTGCTGCAGTGGAGTCTGAAATGTTCCCAAGTAGCAAAGCCCCAGGGGTAAATGAGGTGTCTGCACAGCAAATCACACAGGTTTCCCCAGCACACTGTGAGTTGCTGCACACTGTTGTACATCCCTTGGCACTATGAGACTCTGTATTGTGTGTGAGATGAAGAATAACACAGTGTATCTTGAAATCTTAGGAATAGGGTGGGGGTTGTTGGAGATGTGATATAGTTTCATCAGTGTCATGGTGTCAGGATATGGCAGATATTACAGGTAACAGCTCACTGGAATCAAATGTATTGCACTCATCCTTCTTTCTACAGGAGCAAGATAAAGTTTCCAACCTTTTAGGCAGGCATGAGAAAAAGTTCTTTCTCATCTAGAGCAACACCTTGACTGTTTGCAAATATGTCTCTTTGTAAACATGGATGGGACACACCAGGAAGATGTGCTGAAATGGGTTAGTTTCCTTTGCTGTTCCCTTAAGACGGAGTACGGACATTTAACCTCTACTCTTTTCCAGTATTCATGACACTGAAGACCAGATTATACATTTCACCTAAGCATGACAGACTAATCAGAAAGTGATTTTCAACTGGCCGGAGCTTCCACGGGAATCCCTGTGGCTGAACCTTTCCCAAGGATGTTGTCAAGAAAGAGGCCTGCAGCTGGTACATCCCCACATGGCACAGATATTCTCAGGAGAAGTGTCATCGCCCACTCCCTTTTTTCTGCTTGAGGAGCGTGCAGGGACAGGGATGCCACAGACAGAAACACTGAATCCCCTGAGGAAAATGAAGCGGAATCATAACAAAAAGAAAGGTTCAAGTTTATATATCTCCTGAAAAACTCAAATTAAGCATGTGAATTTTAATTTTCACATGCTTAAATTTTTATTTCTGAGAAGGTCAGCTAATAAACAAAGTCACCTATTACAGTTGTACAAATGTTGCATCCCCACTGTTTAATATTGTCATGAAATAAAGTGAAACTAATAAAAATTCAGTATCCCTGGTAAATATCTGAAACTCTTTTATGTGGAATGAGGATACAGCTAGGGCTCAAAGAACATGTGTTTTCAGTCCCACTGAAAATTTCACTGTCTTCATATTTGCTTTTATCCCAATTTGGAACAGAAAGTCAAACACTGACTACTGAAACTTCTGAAAATCACAAAGTTCAGAAGCGTCAAAACATGCCACTTTAGTATTTCTGATCTAAAGGAAATGCTGAATATAACAAAACTGCAATACTGAATAACATTTTTTGAATGAAACCAAAGCATTTCATTTTAGCTCAGTTCAATACCAATGTATGTCTCCCTGACATGATCTTCATACCTCACAAAAGCTAGAGTTTAGATGCCTTGCATTATTAATTTTTTGCTATGGACAGATTTGCTGAGTGTGCCACAAGGTACACATCACCTCTCATACGAATCACCAGATAAGACCTCCAGTTGCATCTGATAAAGTGTAATCCACTGATGAGATGTTTCTATATGGATCTTGGTCACCGGGGTGTAAGGCACAGCTACGGTCCAGGGCAACAGAGAAAAATGTTAAACAAATCTGAAACAAAATATTTAGTTTAGTTCAACAAGATAAAGGGTTTTGAATCATGTTGATCCAACCGCGAGCAAGACACACTTTCGCAGATTTCTAAAGGTGATGAAGTAATTGTTGAAAGTTATACTGAATGACGTGTATCTGTACAGTGGTCATTCCTAAAGACACTCTGGACTCCACTGGGTAAAATAATGTGCATTACTAAGTAGTTATACTGATGACCAGTGCCACTTTATCATTACAAATTAGAATACTATAAATTATTTGACTGAGATAAAGTTAGCTAAGATAATGACAAGTTTTCTGACCACTATAAATACATATTGCTG